GCTGATGAATGAGTTGACGATGGAGGCACGACGACGCGACGAGCCTCGGGCAAAGATACTACGACTAAAGGTAGCGCAGAGGTAGGAGGACATCCAAAAAGCGGAGGCGGATCGACGATGGGAGAATACGCAAGCCACGAAGCAGGAAAAGGTGTTTCGCCGGGCTTGCATCCGGACGATGTACAGTCGACTAAAAGCGCCACAAGGTCTGCAACCGAGCCGGGCGATATGAGACTCAGCACGAGGTGGAGTTGCAGCGTGAACCCGGCGGCCTCGCGTCGCGTATATGGTTCACCAGCGGTGAGTTCGAGACGCCCTTTGATGGAGGGGACGGTCTTCGGGCAGGGATGAATTTATGCAGACGTATCCGCAAACGCTTCCGCCGGTGTTGCAGCTGGTGATGGCAAGGCGCACAAGAAGCCATGATACTGTCGATGCTGACAACAAGCACAATGAAGGGCCTGTCCCGGGTCAGGACGAAGGTGAGTATGGCAAAAGTGTTAGCGTTGCATTAGCACTAACGTTGCACTATTTTAACGTTGTCTATGTGTTCTACAACGTTGCATATCTCATTGAATCCAGTTGAGTCGGTGCCTGAGCTTGGAGAACGCGTTGTCAGCGAAGCTGGTAGTGGTGCAGGCAGCGATGACAGTGTTGCTGCGCGTGCCGAGCACCCGGACAACAGCTATATCACCGGCGGTGCACCTAAGAGGATCTTTAATGCTGAAGGTGAGGGTGGCAGGGCTGTTGGAAGCAAGGGTGCGTTTAATGCGGTTTTTCAGTTGATTAACGTTGTTGTAAGGCAAACGTTGCCCGTGATTAACATGATTTTTTTTACATCATTTGCGGCTAACGTCGCTCATCACTGATGTAACGTTTCTGGTTGTAAACGTCGCTGCTATCTCACGTTATGTCGTTGTACAAACTGCCGATAGAAGACCAGAGAGTCCAAGGAATAAGGCATAAAAGCAAAGGAAAATGAGGAGGCTCGAAGGAGGCTGCAGCTGGGAAGCAACAAAAAGGTGACTATCTATTAATTGCTGGATTTTTATGATGTCGACTTAATAGACGTTATTTGATCAGGTGAGCTAAAGCGCAAGCGCAGTGCATCGCAAGCTGGAGCCGCTCCGTCTGTACTCGCCCCACGTGGCCGACAGGAGTACATCTTCGTGTGAAGAGGAGGAGACGGTCGCGCCGCACGAGGACGATGAGAAGGGCGCGTCACAAGAGGACGAGGAGAAGGGCACGTCACACAAGGATAGTGACGACGAAGATTTGCCCTTCTATCTGCAATTTCTAGAAGAGAAGAAACCGCGTGAGAGAGGAAGTAAGACCACACCTGAGCGTGAGGCCATGATTGCAGCTCACGTGAACGTGAACAATCATGTGGATCCTATCCCACGGAAAGGGAATTCAACATGGATTTGTGGATGTTGGGGTTCGAAGAGTATTGCACTAGTCACAACCTCAAGTTCCGCGTCCGCACGTAGTATATCAAGAACGAGGGGGGGGGGG